TTGTCGTTTTCCCCCGTCGGACCGTCCACCAGAGCCATCACCACTGGCGGGTCGCACAGACAGATCTCCTGAGAGGGGTGGGGGTGAGGGGAGATAACAAAATTTGTCTGAGAGTCCATTTATACAGCTTCCACAAAGCTGCTGTGGATTAACATTTTGGCAAAACACTTAAAAAAATGCAGATTAGACTGAAGAAACTCTTCTGTGATTTAAAGATTTCCACAGAATGAATGTGGAAAAAGTTTCAGGATTCTTGGTTAAGTTTTGCACTGAGTGGCTTTTTCTGAACTGAGCAGTTTTACTGAAGATGATAAAAACGTAAAAAATGCAAATGATGTGGAATCTGCAACAACTTTTAGCATGTCTTAGGTTTTCAGCAATTTTGACCAACAAAATGAGCAACAGTGATTTTTCAAAACCATATATAGACTGTAATTATATTTACAGAATATGTGTTATTTTTAAGAGTTTACTGTTATCAGGTTTATATTGTAACAAGTATTTTAACAGCAATTTGCCGTGAAACGTTTTACAGTTTAACTGTTTTTCAAGTAAAGTAATTTGCCGTAAATAAATAACAGTTCTCTACTGTTAAAGTGATGGTTGCCAAAATGTCATACCGTAATGTGCCACATTCTGACCATATTTTTCTACAGTGAAATTCTGGAAAACACAGTTGCCAGTATTTTTCCGTAAATTATATGATTAATTTTTACAGTGCACATTACTGCCTATGTGGGTGCACTGCTTTGGGATAAAAAGTAAACTGTCCAAAGCATTTTCAGATGATCCAAAATGCTGCAGCCAAAGTTCAAAGGTGAGTTAAAAGGAGAAAGATCATATTAATTTAATTTCAGCTTTTCTATTATAAAAAATTACCGGTAATATAATTGAAAATCTTACTTCTAACATGCAAAATTATCAACCACCAAGCTCCATCTGTTATTAAAGATGTAATTTTTCCATATTTTCCAAACAGAGCTCTTCCCATTCAGATGTCAGGTTTACTTGTGATTCCTAGAGTTTCCAAAAGTAGAATGGGAGGCAGAGCTTTCAGTTATCAGGCTCCTCTCTTGTTTAACCAACTTGCAGTTTCTGTCCGTGAAGCTGACGCCTTGTCTACTTTTAAGACTAAACTTGAGACTTTCCTTCTTGACAAATCCTATAGTAAGAGTTGCTTGGGTTTCCTGAACTATTACTAATACTGCTATAGGCTTAGACTGCTGGAGGACCACATTTTCTCATTCTGCTGCTGTTTTTACTCTTTCTATTCTCCAGGTTTTTATTTATTTCATCACCATGTGTTTTTCTTCTCATAAAACCTAAACCTGGACCAGTCCCATGTTTGTCCTCTTTATTCTCAGCCTGTTGAAGCAGAAGCTTGTCCTGAACCCGGTTCTGGTTCTGCTGGAGGTTTCTTCCTGTCAAAAGGAAGTTTTTCCTTTTCACTGCCACCAAAATGCTGCTCAGGACCGAGGATGGTGCTGAAGTGGAGATTTGATGCAATCTGCTGACTTTTACTAATTATCATTTTGTAATATACTGCATGTGTTTAATTATAATTAGATAGAATCTGATGTAAATGGACTTTTTTATGTAAAAAGCAATTACTTTAATTGTGAATTGGCATTATATAAATAAACTGAATTGAAAAGTAAACATGTGATTTTTTTATTCATTCATAAAATAAATACAACAAAAATTCTTAACGTTCTTGTGCAGCTTTTGTCGTACCCGTATGTACTGAAATTCCTCCACTGGAGAGTCGGCTCTTGAGGCGACGGCGCTAAAACCTGGATGCTTCCTGGTAATTAGTAGGAGTTTGGTCCTGATGGCTGCTACTATTCTCAGCTCGGAGCCGTGGTGGGTGTTGATAGAATACAAATGACAACCTGGATCAAGGAGGAGAGGAGGAGAAAAACTAAAGAGGTTTGAATCAGTACATATTGGAGGTGCTGTTCCTCGGCTCCCAGACGTTACGCCATTCAACACAAGAACGTTCTCTTTGTCACGCTTTAAAGTGATTAGATCTTCTCCTTGTTAATGAAAAATCAATGAAAGTTGTTAAACAGATAGTCAGTCAGTGGCGTGTAACTCATTTACTCTTTCTGCCAAAGTTGATGGAAAAAAAAGTGGCTGGATTAAATTGTTAGAAAAATATTATAATTTTATTTTGGAAGAAAAAAGCATTTACATCAGCCACAATATCAACTCCATATTTATATTTAAACTATAATAATATTTGGAAATACCTTGCGAATAATAATGAAAAAATCATGTGTCCCTGTGATGGACTTGCGACCTGTCCAGGGTGTACCCCGTTTCTCACACAGTGATGGCTGGACATGGGCACCAGTGACCCCCGTGACTCAAAATGGAAGAAGTGGGTAAAAGATAATGGATGGATGGATGGATGGATGGATGGATGGATGGATGGATGGATGGATGGATGGATGGATGGATGGATGGATGCATGGATGTATGGATGGATGGACTAGTAGTAGCTAACTTGAGTCAACCCGAAGACAAAAAACATCTTCCTGTCCTCTAAACATACACACACACAACTAATGTTTGTTGGGTGCATTTACCTGTGTTTACTGAGTCAACCCTTATTACAGCCAGAGCTAAGCGCCACCTATTATTAGGCTAATATTTATCACGAGACATAAATAAATATTTAAGTCTTATTCAAATTTTTTTTTTGCATCAACACTTAAAAACATTATTTTACTATACATCAAAACCCCAGCCCAAATATGTCATCAAAAGCCACATTAATATTTAAAATCTGTTTTCATTTGGGGCAGGTGGCAAGCTGGGTACAAAGTGAGCTGAGGTGGGTAAAATGTAGGCAGAGGAAGGCAATAAAATAATATGCATGATATAGAATATCATGCCCTTCTGGCCAGGGCTGCCCATTGTCACCAATACTGTTCATGACTTTTATGGACAACATTTCTCAGTGTAGCCAGCGGGCGGAGGGATTCTGGTTTGGTGGCCTCAGGATTCCATCTCTGCTCTTTGCAGACGATGTGATCCTGTTGGCATCATCGTGCAGTGATCTTCAGCTCTCAATGGAGCGGTGCGCAGCCGAGTGTGAAGCAGCTGGGATGAGAATCAGCACCTCCAAATCTGAGGCTGTGGTCCTCAACCAGAAAAGGGTGGATTGCTCTCTTCAGGTCAAGGGTGAGCTTCTGCCTCAAGTGGAGGAGTTCAAGAATCTCGGGGTTTTGTTCACAAGTGAGGGAAGAATGGAGCGTGAGATTGACAGACGGATTTGTGTAGAGTTTGTAGTATTGCGGACTCTGTACCGGTCCGTTGTAGTGAAGAGAGAGCTGAGCTGTAAGGCAACGCTCTCTATCGGTCGGCCTACGTTCCTACCCTCACCTACGGTCATGAGCTCTGGGTATTGACTGAAAGAATGAGATTGTGGATACAGGAGGTTGAAATGAGTTTCCTCTGCAGGGTAGCTGGACTCTCTCAGAGATAGGGTGAGAAGTTCAGTTATCCGGAAGAGACTCGGAGTAGAACCGCTGCTCCTCCACATCAAGAGGAGCCAGTTGAGATGGTTGGGGCATCTGGTAAGGATGCCCCCTGGGCGCCTCCCTAGGGAGGTGCTTTGGGCATGTCCGATTGGGAAGAGACCCCGGGGAAGACCCAGGACACACTGGAGAGACTATGTCTCTCGGTTGGCCTGGGAATGCCTTGGGGTCCTCCCAGAAGAGCTGGAAGAGGTGGCTGTGGAAAAAGATGTCTGGGTCTCCCTGTTCAAGCTGCTGCTCCCCGTGACCCAACTTCAGAACAAGCAGAAGATAATGGATGGATGGATGGATGGACATAGAATATAGTTTTACAAGCCCTACACACAAAAATAGACCGGGATTTTCAAAAATTGCTGTTTCAAATTGTGGCTGCAGGCTAGCTGGTTGCTTGGTCACAAGCACTCAGTATTCAGTCTGACTTTAGCTGAAAAATCACCTGTTTTCCAATAATTTTGGGTAAATGATCTCCAGCACTGGCAGCCCAGTGAGTTACTACCCAAACAAAGATGTCTGTACACAAGCTGTGCCTATCAAACCTGAAAGAGCTGGAGCAAGTTCCTTGAACAATGGGCAAAATTTCCAGTGGTTAGACATGTAAAGTTTCTAGATATATACTTGAAGAGACTTGGTGCTGTGACTCGTGCAACAGGTGGCTCTACGATGTTTTGACTTTCAGGGGAGGTATACAGAAGCTATCCTAGCTCAGTTTTCACCCCAAAATGTTTTTAAATCCCAGGTTGTAAGACAACAAAACAGAAAGAATGTCAAAGCGGAGTTAATAATTTTGCAAACTGTTTTGATGAAATTACCTATTTTGCACCGATCAAGGCCCCTTAATGGCAGATATGACGAGTGAGCAGTATCAGGTTAGTTTGCAGCATGTGCACTGATGTGTTGGGTCAGTACCTTTAGTTTTCTCCAGTTTATTCTCCCTGCAGTCGCACTTGCTTCTGACTAGCTGCCTCTCCTCCAGGCACCTCTTCATCGTGCTGAGTCTGAACACGTAAAGCCGAGCGTCCTTTCCTGGAGAGACAAAAGGAAAGCCGCCTTTGTTTTGTAAGAAGGGTGCTCATAATTTGCCGTCTCCGTTTTAAGCATCCTCCCACAGCCAGACAGCGGCGGCAGGATTACCGCGAGGCTCGTCTTAAGGCTCGTGTTCTCCCACGAGCCTTATCAAAGCCCACACATGGTCGTGACAAATGTTTGCGCTGACATCACATAATCACCATCAATTCCAAGTCAGCCCTGTTTGTCAATATTAAGGTTGGTTAATCATCTTGCAGGGGAATTAATTACATGCTTCCCTAGTTGAAGCAAGCATGAGACAAATCCATCTGGTTTATGTCCAAAGTCACTTCTTGCTTGTAAAGTTTGTTTGATTTATTATTAGTTTAAAACTCTGCATTCAAGGAATGCTAGGCCTTTATGTTTCTTTTATTGTCAGGAGCTCTGATCAGCGAGTCTCATTCATTCTCTCAGGGGTCCTGCAGCACAAACAAACTCAACCTCTGCAGGGTTGAGCTCTCTGTAGGTCAGCTTCTTTAGATCATGGCGACACATCAATCTGTTTCCTGAACCAGTTAAGGTGGAGAGGGTAAGCAGCAAAGAGACACGCAAAGGAGAGAAACACAAAGAGATGACAGAGATTAATTAAGAGAGGATAATGAGAATAAAGATGAGATGTAAACACCCGTTCTGATTTAATGAGAAGATGGAAAAAAGGGCGAGAGGAGAGGAAACCGGTCGCTTGATGTGCAGGGAGGGCGTACGAAGCGGTTTTGTCCTCGCGTTCAAAGCTCACCTTTGTCAGCTCGGGTGATCAGTAGATCCTGAGGCTCGAGAACGTGCATCTGCTTCACCACTATGGTTCTGTCAAACACTTGCACTGGGGGGACAGTCTGTGTGTCTGAAATATAAATAGCATAATTAAAACAGGAGTTGCACCGTTAAAAAAAAACAAAAAAACTGTGCAACTAACAGAGTTATTTATTAGACGTTACTCACCACCGCTGGTCAACGTCGGGTCAGGGCCTGAAAAGTGAAAAATCATTGCCGACGTCAACATTTTATTTGTGGTGCAGACATTGTGCTTGACATTACTGTGGATGTTCAGGTAGCTTGTGATATTTTAATTAAAACAATCTCACCATCCAGCAGCAGGACCCCCGCGGTGTCTGTAGCAGCCAGCAGAGACTGACCCCACGAGTCAGCGCACACGATCTCATACGGGAATGTGCTGCAGAACGACTGGGACTCCCACGGCTGCAGTATATAGACAAGAATATACAAACACATGAGAAGAAACTCATAACGAACATACTTCTCTTACACAAACTTGAAGCTGGCAGGTTTCTCATGAGTAGGATGAATAATAATAATAATAATAACATAATTTAAACTGAGATAAAGTTCTGACCTTATTTACAGCCATGCTGGTCAAACTTTGAAAATAGCTTTATGCACAATCTCACTCATAAAAGCAAAATCTTGCTCAGTCAGAGAATACATTGGGATGACTCTCAGCCACTGCCACACCACATTTTAGCTCAGTGTCAGGAAAATAGAGTTATTGCCAATTTAAAGTTTGTTGAGGTCAATCATTACTTTCTGGGAGTTTCATTAAAATCTCTCCTCTGGGTCATAAGATATTTTGCTGACAGGCATACCTGCATACACATGAAGACACAGAATATAGAATGTCTGATATATATATATATATATATATATATATATATATATATATGTGTGTGTGTGTGTGTGTGTGTGTGTATATGAGTATTAGCATCTCACCTGTTATGACTGTTTTGTAAATGTTTATAATAACTGACCATGCAGAGGTCTGGTCTGTGTGTTATTGCTGTCACCTCTTTTCTGCACAGGCCAGTGGTAACAAGGCTTGTTGGTGCGTCTCCTCGAACGATGGTCTTCAGCTTTAGAGCCTGAGCAACATATAACATCAATTAACACACACATATACAGTAATCAGTAACTAATAGTTAACTTGTGTGATGTTGGTTTCATGCTTTTTTTTCCCCCTTGATTTATTTAGTGTAAAATAAAGGTGAAATCATTTTAAAATTTAAACAAGAAGTAGTCTGTTAGGCAGCCACCACTTGATCAGGCAGAATTTTGCCAGTCTAAGCTTCACACTAGGCACTATTCAATAAATCTGCTCAGGGGGGCAACAGTTTCTGAAAGCCAGCAGCTCAGGGGCCAGACATCCAGCAATTATGCAAATAAACCAAGCATTACAATGATCTGTTACCTTTTAAATTTGTTTATTTTGTTGCATTGAATCATAAATGCAATAAACAGAACCCAACCCCACCCCCTCAAAAAAAAAATTGTATACAGTAGTCCTTCACTATTTCACGATTCGTTTTTCACAGACTCGCTCTATTGCTGTTTTTCAAAATAAGATTGTACATGACACACAAATGGCTGATTGATGGATGAGCCACTCGATCGGCATGTAATTTTTATTTAAAATAAATTATTTAAAATTATTTAGCACCTCTGTGCAGCCCATAATGCAGGAAAAACTTCCTGCTGCAGCTGATCTCTGTGCAGAGTGGAGAAGTGGGCGTGGCCAAGACCATTTACAGGTGGCTGAGAGCAGCTGAGACAGAGAGCTGAAATCATGACATTCTGTGCTCTTTGAGAGCGTTTAGAGTTTAGAAACATTGTTTAGAATATTGCAAGAGTGTGGGTATATATATGAAGGGTTTAAAACACCTTCATATATATATATATATATATATATATATATATATATATATATATATATATATATATATATATATATATATACACTAAAATAAACTACTACCTACTACTTGTACTACTATCCCTACTTGGTAGTTTTTCCCTTATTGCGGGGATTCAGGGTACAGATCCTCCATGATAAATGAGGGACTACTGTATATTTATATTTTTAAATGAAGTCATTGGTGGGCTGGATTTAAGTGGCCCACGGGTCACCAGTTTAATAGCCCTACACTAGGCCAATAACATTTACATCTCTGCATAAACCTGGATTTAATGAGATCAATACAAGCCAATTATACAAAGGCTTAATAGTGCACTGTGATGTGTCAGTATTTAAATGAATAAGAATAAAAAACTGATGTGGAAATCCAAATGAACATAAATTCTTTGAGGAATCCATACAACTGCATTAAATGACGGAGCAGTTCTGCCCTTCATTGTTTCCACTGTGTCTAGGCTGTGCAGCATGTACAGCCCCAATTCCAAACAAGGTGAGAAATTAAGTAAAATGTAAATAAAACAAAATTCAATGATTTGCAAATCCCACAAACCTTATTTTATTCTCATTGGAACATAGAAGACACATCAAACAGTGAAAGCACTATTTTTTTTAAGGAAAACATCAAGTAAATTTGAATTTGGTGGAGGAAAATACTTAGTATCTCAGAAATGCAGGGATGTGTCTATGTATTTAAATACTTTTAAAATTTTTGAAAATAGAAATACATGTCCTGATACTCATAATTCCAGATGTATAGATGACTTGTGATTGTTTGTTAAAAGTATTGACACACAAAACAACAAAGCTGTAAAATACACACACACAATGTTTCCTGCTTGTTGTCTTAACATCACTGACAGCACTTAAATTGCCATAAGTTCATATTTTTCTGTTGTTTGCAGGTGTTTAGTTCACTCAGTTGATCAAAAACAGCAAGCATCCAGTCTATTTTACTTTTGTATTCTTAAAAATGAAAAAAATAAAAAATAAATGCCACAGATGCTGATATTATATCTTATATGTATTTGAATGTGGGCTGAAATATGTAAATGTCTTTGAAACGATCCAAAAATGTCTGATTCGTTCATTCCAGTGTCTCCTCGGTGTGTTTGCAGCATGTGTGTGTGTGCAGTGGAGTGTTTCTCAGTGCATCCTGCTTGTAGATGCAGTTTGTGTGTTTACCTGCCCTATTCTGACAAACTCAGCCTGCCGTGCCTCCTCCTTTTTTCGTGCAGACTTCGGAGACTCGGGCAGCACGTCGCTGAAGGACCGCCGGTTTAACATGTTCTGGGGAGAAAAAGGAACCTAAAGGTGGAACACACAAATATGGCAACACGCACACACAGGGAAAGAGAAACAAACAAACAAAAAAACGGTCATAGAGGAGCAACAGGAGTGAAACAGAGTTTAAACTGAGTCGTGTTAGGTGCAACAGTGATTGAAACAGTGTGGTGGAGAAACCCAAGGAAAAAGGGATGTGAGGAGAGGGAGCCCTGCTGGGAAAATCAGCATTGCAGTGGTTTCCTATCGGTGTGGTGCAGTATGAGGGCTGCAGTCAGATACAGCAGCGTACAACTCAGCAGCAGCTATAGCGAGAAGTGAGACACCTCGGATGGGCAAAAAAAAGCTCTTTCAGGTCTGTGTATCGTACAGGTGGTCTGAATGGTTGGGGTACCTTGTACAGGTCAGGTGTGAGGTCTTGGTAAAGGGAGCGGATCAACATGTCCAGGGTCCTCTGACGTTTCTGGGCAAACGTTGGCGTCTCCAGTGTGGCTTTTTCTCCATTGATTACTGAATGAGTTGGTGGGAAATCAGAATGTTATCAACAAAAGCGAACAAAAAGAAAAGATCCAGATCATATACGATTGGTATTTTCTTTAAGGTTTACTAC